GGAGTCTGAATGCAGATGGAAGCAGACTATTTGCTCTTTGTTTTTTCTTTCTTGTGGCTTTTCTCTTTTGTTCTGATTCTTCTTTTATAACATGATTAACATGGAAATATGTTTAATATGATTGTACATGTAGAGCCTATATCACATTGCTTGCTGTCTTAGAGAGGGGGGAGGGGAGGGAGAAAAAATCTGAAACTCAAAATCTTATAAAACTGAATGTTGAAAACTATCTTTACATAGAATTGGAAAAAATAAAATACATTAAGTGGATAAAAAAAGTCGAATCCATAGGATCATAGGACTGCTGACTCAAAAGGCAGACTTCCATCTACTATTTCTCATTATTATTCCCTAGTAATTAAAGTTCCTTTCAACTCTAAAACCTACCATTCCGTGACTCCTGAGTCCCCCAAAGAGGCACCTGGATTTCACTAAAGAGGAGACAAGTGACTCTTCTGACACCTTCCATCCATAGTGTAGTGGAAAGAAACTCAACCTAGTCTTGAATTTGGGACTCATGGGGCCTGAATTCAAATGCCACTTAAATGTAAGCTACAAATTCTACCAAGATTTAGCCACTTAAGCTCTCTGGGCCTCAGTTTCCTCATCTGCAAAATGAGGGGAGGCTAGTGGGTTGGATGACTCCTAAAGTCCCTTCTAGCTCTAGAACCCTAAGGTCTAGACCCCAAGCCTGATTATCACTAGTATCCACAACCTCTTAGCTTCTCCCCACCCCTACCATTTTCCCTTTGAACAGTACTGTCTCTTTCCCTATGGGATGGTTCCTCAAACATGTAATACATTAAAGCTAGAAAGTATGTTGAGAGGGTGTTATTGGACTGAATGTAGATGGTAAGGCAGGGAACAGAGGTTCCCAAACTTATTTGGCCTACTGCCCCCTTTAAAAATTACTCAGCACCTCCCTGGGTTTAGGTTAGGTTAACCCTTATTTTTATTCAACAACCCCCAATTGCATCCAAGGCTACTACCACCCCCCTGGATCATTCAAAGTATTGCTTACTTTAGGAACCTATGGCAGAGAGTAAAATAGCTCCTGAAACATGAATTCTCAGTATGAGGTAGGAACTAGGACCCACAAGTGGAAGCTGCAGGACATATTTCCCCTTGATATAGGGAAAAAGAACTACTGTCCCAAGGTAGAAGCAGCTGCCTCACAGGTAGTGAGTTTCCCCTCATTCAAAGTATTCAAGCAGAAGCTGGGATCAAACAGGGCAGCTAGGTGGTGCTGCAGTGGATAGAGCACCAAGCCTGGAAACAGGAAGACTCATCTTCGTAAGTTCAAACTCAGCCTCAAATACTGTGTAACCCTGAGCAAGTCTGTTTGCCTCAGTTTCCTCATCTGTAAAATGAGCTGGAGGAGGAAATGGCAAAGCACTCCAGTATCTCTGCCAAGAAAACCCCAAATGGGGTCAGGAAGAGCTGGACACAAATGAACCACAAGAAATCAAGTGAGATGACATACATATGGAGCTTTGCAAATCTTACAGGGCAGAGTTAAGCAAATGGCCTTCCAGTGGCACACAGGTGGCACAGTGGATAGAGCTCCAGCCCTGGATTCAGGAGGACCTGAGTTCAAATCCGACCTCAGACACATAACACTTACTAGCTGGGTGACCCTGGGCAAGTCACTTAACCCCATTGCCTAGCCAAAAAAAAAAAGAATAGAAAGATTTGACAAATTATGCAATTTAAAAAACCTTCAAAACATTATATAAATATTGTTATTACAGGGATTTTTGATCAAGTGATTGGGACTAGATTCTAGGTTCCAACCAAACTGACCTACTTGCCATTCCCACTACCTGACATTCTTCATCCCACTTCCATGCCTTTGCCCAGGCTGTACTCTATGTCTGAAATGCCTCTCTCCTTTTCTCCACCTCTTTAAATCCCCATCTCCCTTCAATATTCAACTAGAGTGAATGGAGTAGAGAGAAATGAACAAGTCATCTCTTCCCTGAGCACCCTCCCTGACTATATCTAGAGACCTTTCCTGATAACCCTGCTTGTTAGTGCTGTCTCCCCTTCTACCCCCTCAAAAATGACCTTGGATTTAATTTTGGATTGACTTCTCAGTGCACGTGTTGCTTTCCCATAATATAAGGTAAGGCTCCCGGGACAGGCGGTAGGTTTTGTTCTACCATTGTCAGCCAGTGCCTAGCACTCAGAACTAGACGCTGGGCTTGTGATTTCATTGGTATAGGGAACTCTTAGGTAGGACAACTCCCTCTACCAAAAAAATCATCACCCCTGCAACACAGAGTCTTAGTGACTTGCCTAGGGTGACACAGCAAGTATGTATGTCAGTGGAAGAGTTAAAAGATGAAATCAGGGGGAATTTTTATAGCAAAGTTAAAAGATGAAATCAGGAGGATTTTTTTTATAGTAAAGTAGGCATTCCTGCCCTCTGACTCTTTCCCCAAACCAATCCTAGCTCTTTTGACACAGCCAGTCCCCTACTATCAGAGGACGAATAATGAGAGGTCAGTGACCTTCCCCATCCCCTTCTCCAGAAGTATCTTGGTCTTATACCCAGGCCAAGAGCGCTTAGTGTTCTTCCCTCCCCTCATGCCTCTGGGTGTCTCAGAGAACAGAGATGCCTTAGTGACAGAATGTTGGAGGCACTGAGGGATGGGCAAGACAGCTGACCAGAGCTAGAGACCTCCATCTCTCTCTAGGGAGTGGAAACCTATTTGCCCTGTGGTCCAGTCCCCTCTTCAAACCCTTCTTGGACCCAGGCCAGGCCCCAGTGATAACTCCACAGGCACATTCCCTCCTCCAACATAGTTGGAAGGGGTAAATCACTGTAATCGGGGAAAGGTTAGAGGCAAGGGAACCAGCCTGTGGGTGAGGGAGGTGGTGGTGGTGGGGGGCAGAGTCAGGACCATGGAAGGAAGATGACATTGGGAAAGGATTTTACAAGTGACTGGTACCCTCTTTGTAACAGAAGTACCCAAAATATAGCACAAGAGTCTGGGTTAGAAGACATCTCTGACATTCTGGAATAGTAATAACTGACATTTATGGCTTAAATCTTAGGAAGCACTGTGCATATGAGAGAGGCTGTGGAGGATAAAGGTTAAGAAAGCTAGCAGTTGAGTTAGAAAGATCTGGGTTCCAGTCCTCCAGACACTTAACTAACTGGTTGGGTAAGTCATCTGATCTCTCAATGCACACACCAGGCAATGTTCCAAGGCTAATCAGCAAAGAAGGTGCTAACCTGCACCATCTGACATGCAGTTTCATCATCCAGAAGTTCTCCGTAGCAATAAAATCACAGGACCAAGGACTACTTCCCATCTCTTTCCATCCATTATCTCCATTCCTGTATCAACTCTGTAAGGTAGGAAGAGGGAGGGCTCCCAGTGAGGAAGCCCCCTCCCTCTACCAATGTGGATCAGCATCTTCCTGGAAAATTTCTAGTTTTAGAGAGTTGCTTGGGGCCACCAAGAGGATAATTCCATGTTGTTGAATCATTTCAGTTCTATCCAACCCTTTGTGACCCCATTTGAGGTTTCCTTGACAAAAATACTGAAGTGGTTTGCTGTTTCCTTCTCCAGCTCATTTTACAGGTGAGGAACTGAGTCAAATAGGGTTAAGTGACTCACCCAGGGTCACACAGCTAGTAAGTATCTAAGGCTGGATTTGAACTCATGCAGCACTCCACCCACTGCACCACCTAACTGTCCCATTAGTTCCATAGGGTCATAGATTTAGATCCATAAAGGGACCATAGAGGTCTTTGAGTTCCACCTCCTCAAGTAACAGTTGAGGAAACTAAGTCCCCAGGAAAGGTGAATGACTTTCCCTGGGTCACAGGGCCAGTATGGATCAGAGCCTGAACTACTCTGAAGCTTTCTATCCTTTAAGCCACCCTGTCTCCCAAGGTAGGTGCTTCAAGAAGGAAGAAAGTCAAGCTCAGAGAGATTACAGGCCAGCCAAGAAGCACCAGTGGCAGGATTCACACTTGGATCTCCCCTTTGCACCACATCTGTGGGTGGTCTGTTACTAACTAGTTGTGGGTCCATGGACAGGTCACTTAGATGTTCTGGGCTTTAGGTTCCTTCTCTGTAAGAGCTTCAATGTGTTTATTTGGTACTGAGGATGGGCAGAGCCCTGTGCAGCAGGTATTGGGGGGGCGGGGCCTGGGAGATTCAAAGTTTGAAGGGCACCAGATGAGGATGGACTCTGAGGGCCTTTCTAACTCTTATAGCCATCCCATAGTTCCCTGATTCAATGACTGGAGGGCGGAATAACTTGATGAGAAGAGCCATTGCAAGAAGCGGTGGCAGGGGAGGTGGACAGGGAGATAGAGAAGGAATAAAAAATGGAGGTAAGAGACCTGAGGAGGAAAAAAGGATGCGGAAGTTTGGCAGGAATGGGATGACTGGAAGAAACAGGGAGAGCATAGCCAGGGGGCAGGTGGGACGCTGGGAAACCAGCTTAGCCTAGCAAAGAGGGAAGACTTAGCCAGCAGATTGGAGTAGAGGAAAGAAGGATGAAGGGGAGAGCCCAAGGCTCACTGGTTTCTCAGGGAAAGGCCCCCAGGCCCCTGGCATCTCCCATATCTCCCATTTTATGGGCCAGAAAACTAAGTCTAGAAAGTGGCACTAAGTCCAACGAGTCGGGTAACCCTGAGGATCCAGCCAAGGCCCGCCTGGCAGTTGCTCAGGCAAGTGGAGGGTCTGGGTCATCGAGTCCCCAGCCCGGGGTAGGACGGGCAGTCCGCCACACCCCACCCCACCCCACCCCGTGGCCTGCCCCGCGCACTTTCCCCTACATTGGCGGGCGAGGAGGCGCGCCCCACCACCCCCGCTCCCGCCAGCTCCCGCCCTGCCCACCCTGCACCCAGCCGTCGCTGCCCCAGCCCGCGTGGCTGCTCCCTCGGCGCAGCCCCTGGCCGGAAGTTCCCCACGATCACCTGCAGCCCCCCGGCCCCGGCCCCAGCGAGCCCGCTCCCCCCTGTGCCTCGTACCCACCCGGCTGTTGCGGCTGGCTGGCAGCGGCGGGCGGCGAGGTCCGGCTCCGGGGCGAGGTTGGGACTGGGGGCCGCCGCAGTGTCCTGCAGCTCGGGCGCCCGGCTCCGAGAGTCAGCGGCCCGGCCACTCCCCCAGCCAGGGCCCGGCGGCGGCGGGGGACAGCCGCTCTCCGCCTGGCGTCATCCCGGCCAGCTCCCCGGGATCCGCGAGCTGGCGCGCGCGCGCACACACACACACTCACACACACATACACACACGCCCACACACATACACACACACAAACACAGGGACACGCACCCTGCCCCCAGTCCCACCCCTCATCAGGCCCCGCCCCCGGCCTAGCTCCTCCCGCCCTTCCCCCCTCGGCCCTGCCCCCTTCCCCCTTCTGGGCTCCATTCCCCAGCTCAGGCTCTGATAGCAACAACAAACCCCCCCCCCAAAAAGAAAAAAAAGACAGATACCTACACGCCCCCTGCCCCCCGAACAGTCGCAGGTACCCCCGCACCTATCCCAGCTTCTCCTAACGGTCGTCTCAGGGGCCCATAGACACACAACCACACGCAGAAAGCAAGCCCTGGAGAGTCCCCCGCGCAACCTTCCCAAAGGGGACAAGAATCCAGCTTCTCCGGGAGGCTGAAGTGGGGTTCGGGCCTCCATCTCCAACCCCTCTCTCAATCCTATCCCATCCCATCCTGTCCCAGGCAGCGCAGAGTCCTTCCGGAGAAGACAGGCCTTGGGGCCGAGAGCCAGAAGCTTGGGCTATTGCTGCGCTTCTGCTCGCTAACGCCGCCGCCGCCGCCACCACCACACCAAAGGACAGAGATAAACGCCTTTCTCTACCCAGCAAAAGGGGAAAACAGGTTAGTTCCCCATCCCTCTCTCCTAACTGACTCCGAAGGAAACAGCCTGATCAACCCTAGGATTTCTAGAGCTCTCTTGGGCAGAGAGAACAATGGAGCCAAAGCGAGACATTTTGATCAAGGTTCTAGGTTTGCAGTGTGAGGGGATCTTAAAGCCCACGTAGTCGTCCCCCTCCCCCATGTGGTTAAAGATGAGGAAACTGCCCTAGAGAGAGACAAAGTGACTTGTCCCAGGTCACATAGGTAATAAATAGCAAAGACAGGGTTCAGACCCAGTTCTTCTGAGTCTGAATCCAATGTTCTTTCCTCTGTCCCCCTTTTGTCCCTGTAGGTCCATCCCTTTTCCAGTTCAGGGCTGCTTTTTACAAACCCTTTCCTGATTTGAAGCAGGACACAGAGCTCCCGCTCTTTCTCCCCCCCTGCCCCCCAATCTCCTAGCTCAGTGGAGGATTTCATTTCTGGAGTGGAACAGCCACAGAAACCCCTTCCCATCTTTCCCCATCCCAGACCCATCCTTCACTTCACTTTGCATGAGCACCCCTTTTCCTTCCTTTCTCCACTAGCGTAATAAGCCCCTAAATGCCCATCTAGGAAATTCCCATTCTTCTCCTCTGAAACGAGAATACCTAACTCTGTTATGTTGGGTGATGTCACTCCCATCCTTGCATCCTCCCAACTGACTTACAGTTTTGCAGGTGCCATGAGGGTAGACCACACGAATGATCTCCCCTGTAGGGATGAGTTCCACTTGTAGAGCCATCTCAGCCCCTCTGAATGCTCAGGCCTCCTCGCTGAGAGCCAGGGCCTGTGCCCTCTGCCTCCTGCTGCTCCAGTAGCTAGGAATTTATGGCCTGAGTCAGGGCTTGCCACTTGGGCTAGGTTCAACTCTGGCCCCAGGGGATGTGGCCAAGTCCAGCTCCTCAGGACGCAGCCGGACAGTGGCCCCAGGGCTGGAGCTGAAAGCAGGAAAGGGAAGAGCTGATAGGGGCTAAGGAAATGCCTGCTGCCCCAGGTAACCAAGGGGAATGATGAGCCCCCCCCCTTCACCAGATTCAGTGCTTCCGGTCAAGAGGAGGGTGGGACATCCCTCTCTTTAGCTCCCATGCCACTCCCATGACTTGGGTCTTTCCTACTCACTCCCAGAAGGCAAGGAGCTTAGAAGCTTTCCATTCTTATCTGGGAGGGAAATGGCAGAACGGGGTGGGACAGGTCAGGCCGCTAGAGCCTCAAAGGGCAGACAGTAAATTCTCTCCTAGCTGTGTACCCCACTACCTGCCTGATGATCTACAAGCACTTGGAGAAACTGGTAGCAGTCCTATAACTAAGCAAGGTAACAAGGGCTTTGTCCCAGGGTTTTGCCCAGGGTATCCACATCTAGACGTCTCAATCTCTCTCCAGGAGTCTTGGTTAACTTTGAACCTTGGTTCTTTGCAGGTTCTGCTGTAAGGCATCAATCCTATCACCCTTGCCTGACCCTGGACCATAAACCTCTCACAAGTCTGTTTTTCCACATAACCCTTTCAGGGAAGACTAAAACTCTGGGGTACATGGCACCCTATCTCCCAGCACAAGTATCTTCACTCACCCTTCCCCCTAATTTGATCAACCTCAGTGTCAAGGCCATAACTACCACCACCACTGTGGATATGTCTTTGGTTCAAGTGAATTCCTAATCATTTCTCTGGCAGGAGGGAAGAAGGTTCAGTGGAGATCTGACATCTATTCTTCCCCACTGAGTCCCAGGGCTTCATGTCTCCCCATCCCCGATTCTCCGGTGAGCATCCCCTTCTTCCCTCCCCTTCAGGCCCACACCCTAATGTTCCTGTTTTCCCTCTCCATTTTCATTGTTGTTAAATCACAGCTGACATTTTCCTGGCCTGGGCTGGAGCCCTTAGTACTTTTGGCTGTTCCTTGTAGGAAGCGAGAAGAGGAAGTGGAGGGGGAAATCACCTTTCCCAGATGGAGAGGCTGGAGCCTGGGAGATGGGGGCTCTCGAAGCAGTGAGACATTTCAGTCCCATCCCTCCAAACACCACAAGACACACCACTCTACTCCTTTCCCCCTCCCAGGAAAGACCAGTAGTTTCCTTCCTCTGGGAAGGACATCTATCCAGGAGCAGGTTCATTCCTGGCGGCCACACAATGGCCTTATCAGACTAGGGAGTCAGGTCCCAGAGTGAATGGACAGGTCTCGGGTACTTCCTGTTTCCACAAAGAAGGCAGGGCTAGGCTCATAGCCGCCACATATCCTGATTGGGGAGGGAGGGAGATGTCATCTCTCCCCTATCTCAGTTAGGGTAGCCTCACCCCTAACATCTTGCAGAGGAATCCTGCTAACAGAAGGGATGTCTGTGTGCAGAGACTTGTTCTGGTGACATAAGGGGGTGGGGTGAAAAAGTGGAGAAAATGAAAAGGGCAGACAGAACAGAGACAAACTAATTGAAAGAAAATCCAAATTGGAAAATCTAAAAAATCAGTCAGCTGGAAGTCAGGGGACCACTCCCGAGTTTTACATTTACCAGAAACTAGCCAGATGGGTGGGCAAGTCATTTTTCTAGACATTTCCCCCCCAGTAGGATTACAGGATCTCTTGGAGAGTTTATGATAAGATGGACCAAAGTAAAACAGAGGCAGAGATGTTGTGGTGGAAAGAATACAAGATTTAGCTACACAGTCCCAGAAGCCAAATCCCCATTCTGCTACTTATCTGGGAGTGTTAGGCTGGGCCTCAGTTTCCTAACCTGTAAAGAAGGCTGGACTAGCTCATTAAGGTCTCTTGCAGCTCTAACCCTATGACCCCATGAATAGCTAGGGACAAGAGAAAGTAAGAGTTTAGGAGACTGGCCTCTCATCACAGGGGAGAGTAGATTTTAATGAGAACGTGTGCAAAGTGTTTTTTTAAGACCTTAAAATGCTATACAAATGACAACAATTATTATTAGACCAAGAGGCCTGGATCCTTTCCCAAGACAACATTTTGCCTGCCCCTCGTCACCAGCCTGGGCTGGGAATCTGGAACCAATGCACAATGCAGGGTGAGATTTTTTCGAGTCAGATCTAGGAGAGAGGTAATTTCAAGGATGAGGTGGAAGAACATGGAAGGAGGATGACATGACACAACAGACTGAGCATAAAGAAGGGACAGACGGGAATATGGGAAATTGAGGGGACTCTATGAGGGTATATGAATCCTTCGGGTGGGAGGAGACCACCAGGGTGAAGGTGGGGCATGGGGCAAATGCAGAACTCCATCAGCTTGTTTCAGCTAAAGGCTACACTGAGATACCAGGCAGTGGGAGTAGGTGGAATTCAGGGTGTTTCTGGTCCCCATAAGTACTTCCCTGAGCTTTCCAAGCTTCAAGAGCCACAGCCCTATTACTTGGAAGCTGACAAACTTCAATCTCCACTGAGTGGGATCCTTTGGGCCAAACTGACCCAGAAGTCCAGTCCACCCCCATTTCCCCTGCCCTAGGCTATCCAGATCCAGCAGCCCCAGGAATCAGAGAGAGGACTGGATCCCCAGGGCAGAGAGACTTGCATTCATCTTCTCCTGCTAATACCAGAGCACGTGCTTCCAAGCAACATGAACAGGAACACACAAGGCCACTCTAAAAGCCACATCTCTATTCTCAAATGTAACAGACACAGACGCACAGACTCAAGTTGCTGGGGAACCAGGGCAGGGACAGCAGAAGCACAGGAAGTTGACATGCAAGGCTTCCAAAGGGGAAATGTCAAGTAGCCTGGAGCCCCCCTCAGGGAGCTTCTCTGTGGAGAAAGGGGCTCCACAGTCACTGAATCGACCCCCTCCATGGGCCTTCGGGAAGGAGGGAGGAAAGAACCACAGTGATGTCACCGAGCGGGCTCCCTGAGATGGTCTTTCCTACGAGACTAAGGCAGAGTTGCCATTGACCCCCCATGGCTAGGGGTGGAGTTGAATGACTTAAAATTTCATGACAGTACCCAGAGAGGAATGTTTTTTTAAAGATCCCCAGATGGCCTTAACTATCAGCTTGCCCAGTGCATGCAGAGGGGTCCCAAAGCTGTTTCCTGTGGGCTGGTATCTCACAGTACAATGATGCTATGTGAATTGGCTCGTAAGACCTGGTTGTTGGGGTGAGGTATCCCAGAAATGCTGAAAGAAGGTGAAGATGACAGGGTTCAGGGCCACAAGTCTTAGAGCTCCTCCTGGGAAGGCTGGAGCCTCAGCTGTGTCACAGCCAAGGGCAGGAGGCATCAGAATGGACTGAACTCTCCCCACCCCATGACCTCAGGCTGTATCTCCTGGCCAAAGGGGCTTCCTGATCCAGGACCCTCTTGAGAAGATACTTAGCAATCTGCTACTACACCAAAGCTATAGGCCTAATTCTCCACACTAAAAGAACACATTAGGACATGCCCATCACTATGCCACCCCTGCCCTGCCACTGGAAGAGGGATATGCTGGCAAGATTCCAAGATTCTTCCTAAATCTTGGAGGGCTGCTGCCAACTGGTCAGAGGATCCTGTACAAATCGATCTCCCCACCCCTGCCAGCCAGAGCCCTGGAGATGGAGTCACAGGAATATGGGGCAGGTGCCAGCTGGGGCATGTGGCTGGCAGCCCCACTGAGGGCGTTTTGAAGGCAATCAGCCCTACCTGGGTTATGGGGCAGGGCGAAGCCCGGGAAGGAAGGAGGATAGAAGAATCCCCCTCTCACTCAGCTGACTGTCCTTGAGTACACACTGCAAATGGAGCAGCTGGCCTCATCCATATCCTGGTAAGTGAAACCTAATCCCAGTCCTGAATGGTGAACCAGGAGGTGATTAGGGGAGGCAGGTGCTCTGCATGGGGTGCCCCTATCTTGAGAGAGCTGGACACACAAGCAACAGCCATCCGGGGGAGCTGCGACCCCTATTTAGGCATTCACCCTGGCTCAATACATCAGTGGATCTCCTTTCTTTTCTCTCCAGTCATCTGGGGTCATGGCATTTTTAGCGATCTGGAAGGAGAGAAGAGGTGGTGAATTAGTGCTTGAGGGTGGGGGAGAGGTGTTTCTGCCCTCCCCCTCCCCCAATCTCCTCACTGTAACCGGCTTTCTCCAAAGCTCCCAGAATGAAATTCTATGACCACAGATCAGAACATGTTACCACCTCCACTGGTGGACCCCAACACCAGACCCAAGTAACTCCCTCTTCCCTCTGCTTTGCCCGCTTCCCATCCTGGCCAGCTCAGGGTCCAGTAATAGCTCTTACCTGGAAGGGTTCACTCAGCCCCACTATAGCCTGAAGGTTGTTACTATAGTAACTGAGGAGAAACTCTCCCCCTTCCTCTGGGAAACCACTAGCATTGATGTAAACCTGAAAGAGGGAAAGGGGTAGGAAATGGAGAGGGTCAGCTAAAGGCCTGGACACTTACCTGTTTGCCAGCCCAGTTCCCAGTCTTCCCTTTCAAGGTAAGTCCCTGGCTCTCAGGTAATGGGGTCAGGCATCTGGCTCCTCTCTGTGCCTCAGTTTCCCTCTGCTCACTAAGTCCTGCCAACTGTGCGTCTTTAGCACCTATACCGGGCACACGGGAAGGAGACTGGCCCTGTAATGGGGCAGGGTTCTGGGGAGCATGAGCCACTCATGGTGGAAGGGCCTGGATACCTGGTGACGCCCGTCACGTGAAGAGACCAAGTTGTCCTTGACCCAAGCATAGTTCACATAGTCCTTCGCATGGCGTATCACAACCTGGCAGTCAAGACATGGCAGGAGCAGGGGTCAGTCAAGGGCCTGAGCACTAGAAGCAAGACTTATGTCATGGCCAAGGGGGCCGAGGGCTTTCCCACTCAGGCAACGCTGGAGGCTCCGCAGGAAGGAGCATCCAGAGACGCTCAAGGGAGGAAGCGGCTGCCCAAGGCTACTGTGTGATGGATCTCCCTGGGTCTGCCACAAACAGAACCTCCAGCATGCCCCAGGGGGGTCCCAGGTTGAAAAAGTGACAGACCCACGCCTTGGCTGACCTACGCCCACTGGCCCTCTCCCCACAACCCCAGCTTGCTACCTTGTGGAGGCCAATCCAGTCCCAGGGGCTGCTGATGAAGTCAGGACTCTGGTTGTAGCTGACCATCAGATCGTAAGGTGTGATCCACTGACCCTCAGGAATCAAGGTGACTGGTGGGCTTAACAGGAGGGACTTCAGCTGGACATGACAGGAGCGAAGCTCTGATCATTAAGCATCCTACTAACCTGGGGTTCGGGTTGAACTCTATGGAGCAGCACAGGGGCATCCATGGTGGGGCTGTCATGGCAATGCACAGCTGCTCCATGGACTGTCTTTATGGGAAGGCCTCTTGCCCCGAGATCCTGAGGAAGGGTCAGAGTCTGGCTAGCTAGGAAGGCAAGAACACACTGTTTGACTAGAACCAGATCATCCTGCAAGGGAGGACCAGGGGCTTCCTCTCAGCTGTTTCACTAGGAAAAATGCCACTTTAAAAGGAGGGAAGCCTTGGGGATGGAAAGAGGAGGCAGTTCTCTGGAGAAACACAGGGGCACCTGGGTAGGTAAGAAGTACCAGGGGCCCAAGAGGACCTGGGAGGAGATAATGCCAGTGAGGCAGGAAGCTGTCGACTCGGATCAACCTTCCACATGGTTTTCAGTGTTCCCAAACTCAAGGGTGAACTGCAGGATTAGAGACTACGCCCTCGATTGCTTCCATATGTCCAAGTAAAATGGCTGCAGGGCTTTATTTGGTGGAGAGGGCAAGAAGCCTGGCTCTGAGCACAGACTAAAATAAAGACTCTTCTATTGGGAAAGGCAAAGAGAGTGACTGACACTTATGTCATTAAGGTCATTAGGATGCAGTAGGCTCCTATTGAAACCTGAGCAGGTAAGTTTAGGAGCACCAGGAGGAAGTCCTACTTCACAGTGCAGCCAACAGGTAGGGAAGGCCTGCCCTTGAGACTGACAGCCAGAAATGACCACTGAGGGAAGATGGGGAATACTGGATCTGTAAGACAGAGGCCAGGGAAGACAATGGCCATCTCTCCTTGCCCATTTCCTTGGGATCTCAATTAGCCACCGAAGATTGGGCCTTAAGTTCATTGGGCTAGGTATACGTGAAGGGGGAGGCTCACCTCCAGCTCAAAGGTCGCTGTGACTGGCTTGTGGTCACTGATTTTATATTTCATATGGCTTTCATAATTCTTCAACATCAGAGAGAAGAAGCGATCACATTTCCCAGAGTCCCCAGGGTTAGTTAAGAGCTCCCGCTTCAGCCTCCAGAGGATGCGGTCAGTCCATGCTGGTTTTCGTCTTTTCTCACTGAATTCACAAGGAAGAAGGGGAAAGCAAGGATGAGGGTGGCTCAGCAGTGGCAGCATCAGGGGTAAAATGCTAGGCTGTCCCAATTACATTAAACAGAGTTTGTGATGGCCCTTAATGACAGGAATCACCAGGCACAAGGGGCCCGTGGCAAGAGATGGGGGAAGGACAGCTGAGTTGATGGGATACGTTACCAGTGGCCAGTTACACTGAAGCAAGTCAGAAAGTGAGAAGGTCCTTTTGATTTTCCTACACTGCAAATAAATGGAATCCCCTGATTTGAAAGATTCTGACTCAGAAACTATTAGTATGCAATTCCAAAATCTCTTTCTCTTAATCCAAAGCAGCATCCATTGTCCCCAGGAACCAAGAGTAGTCCCAGAAAGGAAACATGCTGCCAGTCCTGATGGGCATTCCCATCAAGGGCTGGCCCACAGTGAAATGATGGACTAGACTGGTTCCTGCTACTTAAGGCTCTTTATTCTCCTCCTTCCCTTTCCCTGAGCCCTGCAGTAGAGGACCCAACTTTACAGAGAAAAGAAAGGTCACTCTTTATGAGCTGTCTTCTTCCCTAGCCTACATACACCTCGAAAGCCTTAGACATCATCTCCCATCCTCTCCTTTGTACTCTAATCACGATGAAGAGGCAACCTTTCTCCTGGATAAGGCCAAGACGTGCACTTACACCCTTGGTGCCATCCCGTTATTCCCCCTCCACAACCATCCTCCACTCCTGAGGAAGGGTCAGAGTCTGGCAGGCTATATTTATCTCTTGCCTTTTATAACCAAACTTAGAAAAAGCTGTCTACACTCACTGCTTCCACAACCTTCTCTTCACACTTCTCAACCCTTTGCAATCTGGCTTCCAATCTCATCACTCAGCTGAAATTGCTTTCTCCATAGTTGCTAATGAGTTCATGATCACCAAATCCCAGTGGTCTTTTCTCAATCTTGATCCTTGTAGACCTCTCTACAACTTGTCCGCTGACCACTTTCTCCTCCTGAACAATCTCTCCTTTGAGTTTTTGGGACAGTGCTCCCCTCCTGAGTCTCCTATCTCATCAATTCTTCCCTGTCCCCCCCTTCACTTGATCATCATCCGCATCCCATCCCTTAATCGTGAGGACATCCCAAGACTGTGTATCTCGGGCCATCTTCTTTTCTCTCTCTATCCTATCTCTGGGTAACCTCATCTCAACATTAACAGATCTCAATATTCAGCCCTAATCTCTCTCCTGAGCTCTAGCTCCATCTTATCAACTACTTCTTAGACATCTCCATCTTAGGCATTTAAAACTCAACCAATTCAAAGCAGAATTCATTAACTTCACCCTCTCCCCCCTAGCTCATCACCCTTTATAACCTCTAAGTTTTTGTCAAGGGCACCATCATCCCTCCTCTACCTCCAGGATTTGCAACCACTGAATCCTCATGCTTCCTCATTACACATAACAATTAGTTACCAAGTCTGACTGATTCCATCTCCACAACATCTCTTGCATCTGTTCTCTTCCCTCTTTTCACATAGCCAACACTCAAATCCAGACCATATCATCTTTCTTCTAGACCAGGGGTCGGGAACCTGCAGCCTCAAGGTCACATGTGGCCTTCTAGGTCCTCAAGTGTGACCTTCTGACTGAGTGCAAGTTTTATAGAACAAATCTTTTTTGTTAAGGATAACTCTGATGAGTTCCTAAATCTTTCAAAGTTGTTTGCCTTTACAATACTGTTACTGTAGATTTTTTTTCTCCTGGTTCTGCTCACTTCACTTTGTATCAGTTCATAACATGATTTCCCAGGCTTTTCTGAAACCATCCCCTTCATCATTTCTTAAAGTACAATAATATTTCGTCGCACTTACAGACAACTTTTCAGCCATGCCCTGCTTGTTCCGGAGCTTCTCAGTTTCCAATTCTTTGTCACCATTAAAGTACCTGTTTTCCCATAGCCTCTCGAGAATTTGTCATTTTCCTTTTTGTCAACTTTACCAATCTGATTGGTATGAGGAGATACTTATGAGTTATTTTAATTTGCATTTCTCTAATTATCAATGATTTAGAGAATTTTGTATATGACTATTGATAGAATGGGTTTCTTCTGAAAACTGTCATATCCTTTGACCATTTATCAATTGAGGAATGGCTCTTATTCTAATAACTTTGGGTCAGTTTTCTATGCATTTGAGAAATGAGGCCTTTACTAGAGAAACTTACTGAAAAGGTTTTTTGTTTATCATTTGCCTGCTTCTCTTCTAATTTTAGCTGCTTTGATTTTTAGCTTTCACTAAGATTTCTGAAGCGCCTTGTATGTGTTCATGATGTCTTTCTCAACAGAATGTAGGCTTGTTAATGGCAAAGATTATTTCACTTATCCCTAGTCCCTAGCACAGAACTCACCTAATGGCAAAAGGGGCACAAAAAATACTTAGGAAAATATCATCTTTTTTTTAAGTTTTTTTTTTTAAGGCAATCGGGGTTAAGTGACTTGCCCAGGGTCACACAGCTAGTAAGTGTCAAGTGTTTGGTCTGAGGCCGGATTTGAACTCAGGTCCTCCTGACTTCAGGGCCAGTGCTCTATCCACTGCACCACCTAGCTGCCCCTTAGGAAAATATCATCTTAAAAAAACAGAATTAGTCTAATGATAAAAGAGGCACAAACATTCTCTGAAGAAAAAAACTCCTTTGAAAGCAAAATAGGCCACATGGAAAAGGTGGTACAGAAGCTCACTCAAGAAAGTGATTCCTTAAAAATTAGAACTGAGCAAATGGCAGCTTGGAAAGCAGATTGGGGGAGGTAGTGGTCAGGAGTAAGACAGACTTTTGGGGAATGATAGTATAAAAAGAGAGAGAGAAGGATAAACAGAGGAAAATGGGATGGAGTGAAATGTATAGTTAGTGTACATAAGCGTGAATGTGAATGGGATAAGCTCACCTATAAAACAGAAGCAGGTAGCAAAATGGATTAGAAACCAGAATCCAACAAATATTGTGTACAAGAGACACACTTGGGACAGAAAGGCACAAGAGAGTTGAAACGAAGGGCTGGAACAGAGTCTATTATACTTCAGCTGAAGAGGTGGCAATCATGATCTCAGACAAAGCAAAAGCAAAAATAGACCTAACTGAAAGAGACAAGGGAGACTACATTTTGCTAAAAGGTACCACAGACAATGAAGCAGTATCCAAAACTTCTTACAGCACACTTGCCTGATAAAGGCCTCACTTCTCAAATATAGAGGCAACTTAGTCAAATTTATGAAAATAAGAGCCATTCCCCAATCGTTAAGTGGGCAAAGGATATGAACAGGCAGTTTTCAGACAAAGAAATCAAAGCTATCTATAATCACATGAAAAAATGCTCAAATACTATTGCTTAGAGAAAGGCAAATTAAAACAACTCTGAGGTACCACCTCATACTTATCAGAAATGCTGTAGGGAATGAGGGAAAATAGGTCTATTCATGAACTGCTGGTGAAGTAGTGAACTGGTCCAACAATTCTGGAGAACAATCTGGAATTATGCCCAACGGGCTATAAAACTATGCATACCCTTTGATCCAGCCATACCACTACCAGGTCTGTATCCCAAACAGATCAACGCACACACAGTGTATCACATGCATACCTTTACAACAGCTCGTTTTGTGGTAGCAGACAATTGGAAATCAAGGGGATCAATTGAGGAATGGCTGAATAAGTTATGGCATATGGTTGTGAGGGAGTACTATTGTGCTATAAGAAATGATGAAGAGGCTGGTTTCAGAAAAGTCTGGCAACACCTATATGAACTGATGCAAAGTGAAGTGAGGAGAACTGGGAGATCACTGTACACAGTAACAGCAATGTTGTAATGATGGCCAACTGTGAAGGACTTGGCTACTCTGCCCAATACACTGATCCAGGACAATTACAAAGGACTCATGATAAAGAAATGCTGTCCACCCCCAGAGAGGGACTGATGAACTTTGAGTGCAAATTGCAGTACAGTTTCTTTTTTTTTCAAAATGACTAATATGGAAATATGTTTAACATGATTTCACATGTACAATTGAGACCATATTGTTTGCCTTTTCAGTAGGTGGCAGGGAGAGAATCTGGTACTCAAAACCGAAAAAGAAAAGAATGTTAAAAATAATGAATATTTTTGTAAAAAGGCTTTCACCTTCCTTTCCGCACATAAGTAACACTCAGAAAGCTGCTGGGCACATAGCAGGTACTCCCTTCCAACTTGGTGATTAATCTTTTGGAGGAGCCGGGCAATGAATTCATGCTCAAGTTTGGCTCCAGGAAGAGTTTTGTTTCTGCAGATAAAAATGCTTCTCTTGTCTAAAAATACAACCAGCCATTCTGCATGTTTTTTTTCCTCTTTCAGTTGCTAGAAAATCCAAAAGCCAAATTTATTGCACAAATGTAACAACTGGATTGATTTTAATGTCTGAAAACATCATTACTTCTCATTTGAGATGCATTCTGCTTAAAAATGTCAGCTGCTTCATGACTTTGGGAAAAGGAAAGGAATGAGTCTTAAATAAATAAAAACAGATTGATCTTTCCACAATCTGCTTGTCATTCCTCTGCTCAGAAAACCACATTGCCTCTTACTGACTTCTGCATCAAAACCCAACTGACCTATGCCCTAATCCTCCCCAATGACTCCTGCCCTCCCCTCTCATTCTCCCAACTTGGGAAGGGGTTCTGACCTGTTATGGCAGCCACATTCTGCTCTCACTGTACTTACTACCCTCATTCTCCCTCCTGTCTTCTGTTTGTTTAACCAGCAGAACTGGGGCCCAAACTCCTGACAAGCCTGGCAGGAGCTGCTGACTGTTTGGCCAAGGTGATTGTGTCACCCTTATCTTTAAACTGGGCTAGGAAGCTGCTGGTATAGTCATGATGAAAGGCCCTGCCTAAACACTGGGAGTCGGAAGCTAAAGGCCCTGGAATGACACACCCCCACACTAATGCATGTACTGCATTCCAGAACCCTGGCACTACCTGAAGCTAGCACAGTGCTACTCCTGCAGGCCAGTACACCATATATACGGACATGAGTAACTCCTGGATGAAACTTGTGAAGGGCCAGAAGGCACTGTAGTGCGCTGATGAAAACCCCTAATATCTGCACGATTCTTTCAGATACATCTTTCATTTGATTTCATATTCACAACAATGCTATGTATTATTATCTTTGAGCTCAGAGCAGTGAAATGACTTGCCCTCGGTTGAACAGCCAGTAAACGTTAGCACCCACACTCAAATCCAGGACCTCTTCTGACATCAAGTCCATTGTTCATTCTACTACACCAGAATGCCTCTGGGTGGAAAAATCAATGTTTTTAGGCCACTCGAGACTCCTTCCTTGGTGTTCCCTCCCTAAATAAGAGGAGCTTCATCTCCTTAGGAAGCCAGTCTCCTTTTGCCTTTTTAGCTTTATTTATCATTTCTCTGTACCCTAGCATGTGGTCTATTTTTGTAAAATTACCATATGATACTGAAAAATATGTATATTCTTTACTGTTCCTTTTAGAGGATGCCATAAGACTTTCAAATCTAACTTTTCCAAAAGTCTGTTCAATCAGTTCTATGTTTTCCTTTTATGCTTATTTTTCTGTTTAACTTATCAGGCTCTGAGAGGAACATTAAAGTCTCCTACAATTACGATGGTGGTGAGTTTTTGCAATGCAGTTAAGTTTTTCCTTTATGAATTTAGATTCCATGACACTTAGTGCCACATTTCATGATATCATTACTTTGTAGTGCCTTTAAGTAGAACATAGTTTCCCCATTCATCTTCTTTTGATATTATAAATTTTTACTTTTGTCTTATCTGATAGCATGATTACAACTTTGCTTTTTCAGAATTGCCTGATACATAGTATTCTAAACCAGCTTCTCATTCTTATACTTCTTTTGAAGCACTTAGAAGGATGCCAGGCACAAGGCGGATGTTCAACAATGTGACCTGGGGCCATCTCCCTGATGCACCTTCTTCTCAGAGAGACTTAACTCACTGTCTCATCAGGGCTTCATCAATCCCTCCTCCCTCCCCTGGGGACCTTTGTACATCACTGACTTCTCTCTCTGCTTCCACTTCTCCCTAGGGATAAATCTGGGGCAGCTCCTTATGTTCCTGGGAGGCTGCTGCTTCATGAGATGGAAAGGAAGCAAAGCTCCAGAATGACGACAATTGTTTCTATTCCTGCTCCCTTGATATTTCTTTTCTGGGGCTGCCTCTCCTACCCTCTGCTTCCCTCATTCCCCAGCCCGGATCCCCCAGCCATCTCCTCCAAACACCCTCGGACACTCCTCCCAACTAGCTCCCCGCTAACCACATGATACCCTCCCAGGTCTTCCTACAGTTAGTCCTGCCATTAGCCCCTCACCTGGAATCATAATTTTCTGAGTTGACGTCAAATTTATAGGTTGGCTGGAAGAGCAGAGGACCCTCCTGGAACTGCTGGAGCAGTGAATCTGTCTTCTTAATCATGTTAAGCTACAGAGAGAAGAAGATCCTTCATTGCCACATGTCCAAGTTGTAAAAATGCAAAAACTGGGCACTGGCTGAGCACCAAAGCTTCAGTATGCAATTAGAGTAAGGAGATGCTTAAACATGGCTTGGGGAGGAGAGGGGGAAGAGGATCCTCAACCTCATGTTTTCTCCGTTATCACCTTAAAGATAACATTTGATCCCCTGCCAAGGAAGGGACCCAAATTTCTCAAGTGGTTCCACTTCCTTTATCGCCTCTCTCAGTCTCTACAAGAAAAGAAGCTGGAGCCCTTTGGAAAATCAATCTACTGCCCCAGATAAAAGCAGCTGATGAGGCTCTGAATGCCTTCCTGGGCACAAACAGTTGACATATCTTAGAAAGGAAGATGGAGTTATCAGGGCAGTTCCCCAGAGTTAAGGGGATCACGCACTATAGGAAAGATATGCACTTGAGAGGCGTTAGGGGTGGTCAAGGGAAAAAGGAAAGTCAGTTCAACAGCTCTGAAACCAGGTATTTGGAGTCAGGTGCACATAGGTAGGGAGGTAAAGAGAAAGACCAGTGGCTGAAGTAGCCTGATATCAGTGTGGTGGAGTTGGTGGAAGAAGAGACCCCTCGTAGCTCTCAGACACTACACATCAGATTTAGTCTGGATGGAATGATGAGTCTTCTAGACAACTCTTAAAGTAACTGGAGTAGCACATGGCAGACAATCTCTTGGACCTAAGACTGGGCATAGGTTCCCAAGTGCCAATCATGGGAATGAAGGTGACAGAGCCAGATAACGGCCACCGAGGGTGTCTTGGCCCTCCAGCACCCTCAGACTGGCCTTCCCCCAGGCCTGGAGCCCAATGCAGGGCCTTCTTTTCCTATTCAGTACCTGGTCTTTCCTCCAGAGGAGGCTGTACTCCTCATTGCTGATGGATTCCTGGATAAAGCACAGCCCGTAATCCTCAATGCGAAAGTTTAGGTCACCAAACCAGAGGAGGAGACTTCAGAGAGAAAGCCAGAATGAGCATCATCAAAATGGAGCCTGTGCCCCCCACTAGAGGCGTCAGCTCAAGCCATCTATCACGGGTATGGAGGAAAACGGCTAAATGAGATGAGACCCAGAGGTCATTACCTCCCTGTCACACACAGCTAGTCACCTGGCAACACCCAAATGGAGGCAAGGGAAAGCAGCTTTGTGCCAGCAGACCCAAGCGCCTCATGTACAGAAGGACTTTTGGCCTCTCTAGACCAGAGGGATGGGGGACAGGTGAAATAACTTTGCTGTAACCTCGGCTCCCACTGAGGGGAAGAGAGGACCTAGCCAAGGATGGATGCTCAGGCTCATTCCTGAGTTAGCCAGGGTACACAGGGCCCTGCTTCAGGGAGAGGAGCTCATGAAGGATGGAACCCTTCTCTGTTTTAGACAGAGCCAGAAAATTCAGGGTAGGGAAGACACGGACACAGCCAGGGTTTTGGGGCGGGAGGTAGGGAATGGGACACCAGGTAAACCAGAAGGGTGGTTTGGGGCTAAGCTGCAGGTACTCACTCATGGTCCAGGATGTTGGGGATGTCTTCTTTCTCAAAGTTCTGCATCTCTAGGATCTTGTCAAAGTCACTGAGCCGCTGATCAATGTTGGACAGATGGGCTGGCAGGTGGCAGTTGAGGAGGCAGATAGCATAGCCATATAGCCGAAAGCAGATGGCAACTCCCCCTTTGTTCCCCTGTCCAGGCAGAAGGGTAACAGTAGCTGCCTGCCTGTTCCCCTGTGCTCCCCCCGATCCGCTCCCAGAGGGAAGGCTGAGCCACATCCCTCACCGCATGGGAGAGTGCTCCAACCACACATGGGACAGTCCACTATCTCGACAAACCCTCTGAGGTTCGAAGGGAAGGGGCTCTATCACACAGGGCTAGGCTCAGGGAAGGACCTGGCAAATTCATTTCATCCAAATCCATCTGTCCTACTACAAGATCTCTTATCCATTTCTACTCAGCGATGCAGCCCAAACCCCGGCCTGGCCTTACCCAGTAGCCACCGAGGCCTGTGCGGGTGTAGTTAGTGTAGATGCCAGAAATGAAGGGCACGTGCTGGCGCTTGACAAAGACCAGCAGAAGGAGCCCCTGCATCCTTATGGAGGTCTCCTATGGGGCAGAGGAAGTTGGGGCCCAGTTATTTCAGAGCTACATCTTCGAGTGCCTCCAGCTCCACCCTCACATCCATGACCTCTCTTCTACCCACAAACTCTGGGGTAAAGGCTGTGATGCCCGGTCTGAGTGAGTCTAGTCTGTTTTGACTTTCTACCCTGAGCCTATGACCCCACTCTCTAAGACCTAAGGGAAAGGGAACAGTTTAAGAAACTCATTCATGGGGCATCTAGGTGGTGCAGCAGATAGAGCTCCAGCCCTGGAGTCACGCAGACTTGAGTTCAAATCTAGCTTCAGACCAGATACTTTACACTAACTGCGTGACCCTGGGCAAGTCATTTAACCCCAACTGCCTCACTAAAATGCAAAAAAGAAAAAAAAAGAAAAAAAGAAACCCATTCATGACAGTGGACATCTGTGCTCATCCTGAGGATAAATAGAGAACAATGACTCCAAATCCCCCAAGCCCAGCTAGAGAACCCTTGGTCACATCTATCATTTCTCTTGGAAGCTCTCTGAGACTTGTTCAGGGCTGCTTCTCCCCACCCTTAAAATGTGTGCCCAGGCCGCTAAGAATCTCTAATGTTCCCTAAGCCCCCAGCTGTGGGGGAGGTGGGAGAACAGTGTCATGGCGGGGGGGGGGGGTTCCTCAAATACACAGTCCAGAGGTGGTTGGGGTGTGTGAAGGAAATATGAGGCGGTCCAAGAGGTTGAGGGTAGCAGAGGAGAAACCTAACATAAAATGGGAAATAGCAATGACTTAGGATGAGGAAAAGGACACTGAAAGAGGGGTGGCTACAGCTAAAATATGCCAATTTGGGGGGCCTGAGGGGAGGCCTTCCACTCCCCCTCCAAAAAAACCCGCTGCATTAAAGCAGAGGCCTCAAACCCACTCTCTGAGTGACCATTTCCGGAGCTCTAAGCTGGAGGAGGAAATCCCCTAGGTGGGAACATGTCCTGGGGCCTTCCAGGAATTATGAAACCTGATCCGTGAGTTCAGGGAGCTCCAAAGTAGAAGACAGACCAAAGTGGGGAAACCCCAAGAATGGAGGGGGCTAAGGTAAGGAGGCGGGACACTGCGTTAAGCAGACATTTCAGAAGAACCTCCAACACCATGGGGGGGAGCGTGTGTAACAGACTGAATGAGAGACAGATAACAATCTATGCTGGCTCAGGATGTTTCCAGCTTGGTCCTAAACCGGCTGGCAGGTTTGTGCCCTGGCTTCACCCCAAGGGCAGCCACTCCTTCCTGGCGGAGTGCACACATGGGTGGGTGTCCTGGGACAAAGGCTTCCTTGCAGGTAAGGAGAGCTGGGCAGGGACAGACATGCTGAAAATGGGTGGGGCAGTGATTATCATAGGGAGACATCAAGGGGAAGTTTTAAATTTTGGAAGAAAGAAGTGAGCAAAGAGAACACTGAGTATGGCTGAGTTAGTAGGAAGAAGGGGGAGGGGAAATAAGGAGATCCAGCAGTAGTAGGCCCCAACGTTCAGAAGCAGCCCTGACCTTCCCATGGCATGTGGCGCCTAATTCCGGCTGAGGCTCCAGGTCTCCAACTGCTCTTCCCCACCTCTTAGCAGAGGTGACCTCCCACGTGTTCCTCCTTGGAGCCTGGCCCACGCAGGCTGACTCCCTATCTCCTTCAGGGGTCGCGCTCTGAACGCAGTGGGCTGAAGTCATTTTGTTAGCGCTGCTCTTTTACCAAGTTAGTGCCAACTCAGGGATGGGAAAGGTGAAGCAGCCCCGACTCTTTTGGGCAGGGTAAGAGGGTGAGGAAGAGAGGTTTGAGAAGGCAGGAAGCAACTCCACACTGCGGCGAGCACATGGTACAATGCATTGGCTTCACTGGAAAGGGGCTGGCCTTGAATATGATTCTTAGGGAACTGGCATGGAAGGGGAAGGATCCAGAGAATGACCCAGCAGCGTAAACAGCAGACTCAGGCTTGAAATTAGAAATCACATCCCACTCTCAGGCCAGCAGGTCAGAGTTCCAGATGTTTTTTCTAGAGAAACATTTCCTCCCTAGGGAGGAGAATAAAGAGGTTTTGATATGGATAAAAGGAACCCTCAAGTCAAATGAGTGGAAGAGCCAGAGGGTCTCAGTTTAGCCTTAGGAAATCACCAAGATAATTTCCCCTTTCAGCAAAAGGAGCCTTATACTTCCCTCTGTCTCTCCTGGGACCTGCTTAGGCCTAGCCTAGGTCCTCAGCCCTGCTCTGGGCTGCTTCATCACCTACAGCATGAGATCTACACCCCCTTCGACACCAGCGCAATAGCCTTGGTACAGATTCTCCCCTGGCTTGAGGTGCCACCCTCTGGTGCACAAACCAGGCAACCTGGGAGGGGCGGTGTCAGAGGAGGAATCTGGGGGGAGGTGGGGCAGAAAGAACAAGTGGGTCAAGGAGATCTGATGCCTAATCCTGGAACTCTCCCAATCCTCCTAAAATCAAAGGGTCAAAGTGACCTTTGGACCTGGCCGGTATCTACTGAGACAAGCCCTGACAACCTTGAAGAGCCTTACACAGCAGCAAGAAGCAGCACCAGAGTCATGAGGGAAGTCTAAGTTTAGAGTTTTAAGTAAACAGGAGATAACATGAGAGATGTAGGCCAGCAAAGGTGAGGAAAGGCAGCAAGGGTTCCTTGGAGTCACAAGCCCAGCCCTTTCTTCATCTGTTTCCCCACCCACTCCCTCCCGGAGACACAGAGACATGTGTTTGGGGTGGACGTCAGGAGTCATCCAGACAGAGCCAGAGCCTCCTCCTGCCACTGTCGAGGACAAAAGCGTCCAGAGGATGCCCAGAGGAAAGGGAAATGTTTTTCAAGCTGAAGAGACAGAAATAGCTGATGACCCTGGACAACACCCCCCACTGAGAGGGAGAGAGTCCACAAAGTACAGCCCACAGGCTTCACCCCTCATGCAAGAGGATGGGGGTGGGGCAGGGATTGGGCGGCCCTAGTTTTTCTGTCAGGAGCATGGTCCAGCCCCAAGCACTAAGGCTGCTTGAGCAGAGGTGGATGGAACAGTCCCCACTCTTAGAAGGAAAAGGAGAAGTCTGCAGCTGGTGCTGCTGGCATGCCATTTCTGTGGCAGCTAACAGAGAGATCGAGACTGAGTCACTCAGTTTGGGCCATGCAACAGAGGAACAGGGGAGCCAGGAGGTGAAAAGCAGGGGCCTGAGCAACCACTGAGTCACTTCTCTACTTAAGCGGGGGTTGGCATATGACCAAGTTTCCAGGAGTCTTTCCCAGGAACAGATCTTCCTGGCTTCCTATTCAGAACTAGCTGGGAAGCAGACAAACCAAAACCTGAAAGGACTGGGGCGGGGTAGGGGGGGTGGTAATTCTTAGGTGAAAAGCCAGTGAAGAACACTAACCCTCCAAGTCCATTTCCCTCTTACCCAAAGCCAAATCCCAGGATCACTCAGCAATTACCTTTATATAACCCAGAGGGGAAAGCACGTTCATGAAGAGCTTGCTCCATGGATCTTCAAATGCCAACTCAGAAAGGTAATTGATGATGCCACACTTTACTTCCTGTAAACTGACCATTCCAGTGGTCATTGTCTTTGCTATTGAAACTTCACCCTATCCTTACCAAAACCCAGCGACAGCCAAGAACTCTGATTCTGCTCACTATAAATTTCTCCCCCCTTGCTGCAGCTGACCCAGGACAAGGGACGAACAGTTGGACCCCAAAGGAGGTTGAAGGCTCCTGCCTTCAGAAGACGGTGGAATATATGGACAAATGGGACAGTGGGGCTGTGGAGGCTCACTCTCCTCTGCTGTCCTCCTCTGCCATCCCACCCCAACTCCCAATTGATCAGTTAGGTTTAATCGATTTCAGGATGAATCTCATGAGTAATCCCCAACAGAAACTTACCCAATGACATACATGTCTGTGTTCAAAGATTCTCTATCTAGCAGGAGCAAGTCATCGACGTTGGTCGGGGGTGAAGCACATGCCACGTTCCAGGTCATGACATGCAACCTGTGGATGAATGCACAGTGAGGCTACAGAGAATGAGAGGGCAGGGAACAAGAAGAGGCCCTGGCCTCCAATGAACTGTTCTTCTAGGTAAATGAAACTGTTAGGAGGAAAGAATAAGAAATGGGAAGATTTTACATCTGACTGGGAGAAAAATGAGACCTAAATTGCAGATATTTCTCCTTCAGCCTTTTCCCCCAGAGCAGGAAAGCCTTATCCAGCATGTGAGCCATCTCTTCCTGGATCTCTTCATCTGAGCTGACATCCTCCACACAGGTCAGAAGCTGCACCACTCGCTGCCGGAGGGATGTGTGACCCACAGAGCTGGTGCTGCTCACGCTGGCGGAGCGGTCCCGGGAGAATGGTGAGGTCTCAGAGTCAGGCAAAGAAGAAGCTGGGCTGTCTTCTCTCTCCATAAGCCTAACCACCCACCTGGCCACACAGCAGTCACTGACAGGCCAGCACAAGCCCCGGAGGCCCAGCAAGAACCAAGGTCCCCAGGAATATCCTGAGAGTCAGCTTCCACTTGGCGGGGTAAGGTCTTGGGCTTTCCTGACTCAGGGAAAGTCCAGAGAGATTGAAAATAATAAATAACAGGGCATTCATTCTCTTAAGAGACTTAACAGTCAATCCTTCTAAGCCTTTTTGAAAACTCTAAGGAGAAACATGTGACCACTTATTGGTATATATGTGGAATTCTCTCTAAGAGTCAAGTGAAAGAACTTTGTACCTCTCCCCTCCTCTGGGCAAAGTCACCTGTGGAGTCCTACCCCATCCCCCACATAGCCTGGGGGGGAATGGAATACACCTTCAATCCTAGGTGATTTGGGGGGTCCCTCCTTTGAGGCTTAGGAGAAACCTGGGGCAAGGGAAGAAGGACATGACGAAAAGCATACCACAGAGCCGTCCTGGGACATGGGGCTGAGTGCCACCTTAGGCTAGCTGTACCACAAGGCAGCCAGGACGAACAAGTCTCTTGGAGAGGTAACAGCAGTTCACATATATTGGTACTTCACAGTTTATAAAAGTTTTCCCTCACAGGTTTGCCATTATTGACATTTTACAGCTAAGGAAAAATGGGAACAGGGAAAGGTTGCACCAGAGTCATATAGCCAGGAAACCGGCAGAAGAGGGACTTGGACCAAGGTCACTTTCTGATTCCAAGTCAACCCACGGACCAAAGATCCTTGGAGGGGTAGACAGCTCCACGGAGTTATTACAAAGGGGCCCAGAATTCACCTGCAAACCCACAAATGTGCCTTCTACAGACTGAATAAATGTACTGCACAGAGATGTGCAACTTTTTTCACTGTTTGTTGATGCTATTGTGATTAATAAAATAATTCGTTACAAAGTATTGCTGAATTCACAGTAGCTTTTTGTCATTATTTATTTTCTCAATCAATGACCACTAATAATATAATTACTACCATGTGGGAGTGTTCAAACAATTCTAATGTTAAAAAAGGGTCTTCATACTGTAAGATGAATCATCACCAGCAGGCTCACAAACAAACAGCCTGGCTGAGGCATTTCAACTGCAAAGGCAGAAGGGACAGGAGAGGCAGTGGGCCCAGAAAGCACCTCTTTTCAGGCTTCAGAGAGAGGAGTTTGGTGAGTTCCTTTTTCTGTTTTTCCTTTTTTGAGGGAAGGAAAAACAAAAATGGAGAAATGGGAAGAAAGGACATAGCCTGCCTGGCTGCCCCCCAAGTATCAGCTCTCTTAAATTCTGTGTTTTAAGAAAGTTTCCAGTGGATAGAGCACCAGCCCCGAAGTCAGGGGGACCTGAGTTCAAATCCGACCTCAGACCAAACACGTGACACAACCACCTGTGCGACCCTGGGCAAGTCACTTAACCCCAACTGCCTAAAAAAAAAAAACAAAAAGAGAAAAAAAATAAAGTTTCACCAGACCGCACCTGCGGACAATCTCTGGTGCCCTGGGACAACCTCCTTACCTCCTTCTAGCGCCAGTAAAGAGGCTTCCCTACGTGGTCAGAGGATGCTGAGCTTGGGTGGCCGGCTGAAGATCTCCCCCTGGCGTCCACCCGCGGGACAGGGACACCAGCCTTCGCCTTTTTCTCTGGCCCCGGTCTTCGGGGGCCCCAGGCCGGCTCCCTTCCTGGCCTCTCTTCCCGGGGGGCTTCATGACTCGCTTTCCCGGCCCGGGGGCTCAGGGCCACTCTGTCCCGCGTAGAGGGAGCTTTGGAACCCAGCTCGGCCCGCTCACCACGGTCCTCGGTGATGGACCCCCTCGGGATCGGGGATGCCCGGGCCCCCAAAGTTAGGAAGCCCTTCCCCCGACGTTCCGCTTTGGGGCTGACACCGAACCTTAAACCCCAGAAGAGACGGGGACCTCCCGGGGCTGGCACAGGGGAAGAGGGGCTGTAGTCGGGAATCAAGCAAGAACAGTGACCTGTCCGGCCTCAGACCCTCGCCGGCTGTGGGGGGGGAGGCCCAGCCCCTCAGTTTCCCCATCTGTAAAATGGGATCTTGATGCCTACCCAGTACCTACCTCTTGGGGGGGGCGGTGAGCAGTGGGGGGGAGGGGATGCAGTGGAGGCGCACGCTGGGCTACCCCGCCCCTTCTCCCTACCCCCGACCCATGACAGCGAGGATTACCTAGGATTAATTCCGTGGCTCCCAACCGCAGGAGGGGGGGTGGAGGAGAGAAGGGGGTGAGAAGGCCGCCCCGCCCCCGCCCCTCACCTGAGCCTCTTGAGGTGCCTCATCTTTTTGACGGGCCGTTCCATGACCACGGCGGCCCAGGGGTCTGTGACAAGGGAGGGAGCCCACGATGAGCCGAAGCCGGAGCCTCCCCGAGCCCGGGCCGGGCCGGGCCCAGGCCGCGGCCGTTACTCCCACGCCCCCCTCCCCTCGCCGGGCCAAGCCTGCCAGGCCGGTGGGCGCCGGGTCCCCGAGGGCGTCTCTGTCTCGCTCGCCTGTTGTTTCCCTTCCTCCTAGGCTTCCGTAAGAGGCGGGCCTTGGGCGTACGGAGACTCCTGGGTGGGTGCGCCGAGGAAAGGGGCGGGGCTTCCAGGAGAGCTCAAAACCAGGGGCCGAGGCGGGACTTGGGGAAAAGGGAGGGGGACTGGGGCGGGGAAGGGGAGGGAGGGGACAGGGGAAAAAGGGCGGACCTTTCCTTGTCACCTAGATACGACGCAACAGCCGCCGCCAGCGTTCTCTCGGCACGGGACCCGACTCCTCCAGGCCCAGAACGTAGAGCTGATCTCCCCCACCGCGGACTACAGCTCCCAGCATGCTCCGCGAGCCGCCCAGCCAAACGTGGGAGGAGTCGGAGGCGGGGCGCGGCAGCTTCCGACGCTGCCCAGCCTCGGCCTAGGGCGCCCCTCCGAGGCTGGGAGTGTTACTGCCGAGTGGCTTCTGGCTGTGGCTCGGCCCTGGCTGTTGCGGCGCGGGGGGGGGGGGGGGGGGCGCCGTTCCCTGCCAATAACAGGTGCTCGTGCATTCCCCGCCAGCGTCCTCTCATGACGATATCCCCGCTCAGGACCGCATGTCCCCGTAGAGTCCACCCCAGCTGACCCTGACACCCCCCCCCCCCACCCCACCCGCTCTTCCTGCCCACTGGGAGCCCTCGCCTCTACCGCCCTGCTGTAGTGGACGGGCCTTGTGTGCTGCAAATTAGAAACCTGGCATCACAGAAACTAAGCAGTGAATAAACTAAATAACCCTAGCCTTTGCCTTACCTTAATACACTGCCTATCCCAAAATATCTTAAAAATCACCACCAAATAAATTAGAGGCTGTTTCACGAAGGACTCGCAGCAGGGTTCCTTAAAAATGAACAGTTCTACTACAAATTGAGTGTTTTCACAACAACTACTTTGCCGGGGGGGGGGGGGGGGCAATAAAGAGACACTCCGAGCTAAAAAAAATCATAGAAGCCACTACTACCTGAAGTAGGAGCAGAATCGAAAATAAATATTTGAATTCATAATGTAAATCAAATGGAAAAATTGAAAAAAATCAATGTGTACACATTTCATCGGGAACCTTTGCATGTTAGGAGTTAAAATAGCTGCATGATTCTGAATGTCTTTCTTTTACAAAACATTTACAGGAAACTCCATGTGAGGACACCAACAATCTGGACTCCAGAGAGCTGTGTCTATGATTTTATTAGACTTTTTTCCCCAATATACCTGTATTGGAAGATTAGGAGACAAAAAGGCACAAACTCACATTAAAGAAACAAGGTAATCTAGTTAATTCTACAAAGTGTTTTTTGTAAAAGGAACAGCACGAAGAACCAATCAAAACATGTCAGGGGTCCCAGCAGGGACAGTTAAGAACCCAGGAAGGTGCATGGGTGCCAGAGATAAAAATTATCACTGCACACCTCCCTTCCATTGAAATGCCAGAGCCCAGCACCCAGTCCTGGGGCTGTCCTACCGAGGATGGTCTTGTAGGACTGCAGTGCTGGAAATCTAATAGCAGCAGCACGTCTGGAGCCAGAGTGCATCCTCAGGCATAACACCACCCGCCCGCGCCCCCCCCCCACGCCGAACCTCCCATGATGATGATGGACCCCTCTAAAAGCTAGCTAGCAGGACTGGGTTGGAGGCCAAGGGGGATGTGGAGGCTGGGCAGAGAGGGGTGGGAGGTGGGAGTGTCTTAGAGAAGCCAACGCCAATACCCAGCAGCAGCAGCAGCACCATCATCTGGAGGGTGAGCCCTGGCCTCCCTTGATGCTCAGAACTACAAGATCAGGGCGGATCCCAAGGGATTCTCCAGCCCAGGCCTTCTGGACACTTTCACTCTGCGTTAAAATGGGGAGGGGCGGGGTGCAGACAAGGAGGAGGTAGGAAGAAAACAAAAATCTCAGGAGGATCTCAAGTTTTGTGCATTGATCTTATTTAGAAGCTGGCGAGACTGATATTTGAAGGACTTTCTCCTTTGTGTCTTTCCTGACTACAACTGTGTAAACATTCATTAGCTTTGAATGTCAGTCTTTTCCCAGAGAGGACAGATGTCTAGACTCTACCTTCCACACGAAGGCAGGAGAAGAAAACTTGTTTAAGCACAAATATGGCTAACAGCAAGAGGATGACGAGGGCAACACTGACACTTTCCCTCTGTAGTCAGCACAAAGGACCAATTGCAATGCCCCGGCTCCCTATCTGGGGGACCCATAAGGAGGAGGCTGCTGGACTTGGGTGATTACTGAGAGGCCAAGCGTCTGCAGTAGGAGGCTTGATAATGGCCAGAAGGAACTCTCTTTTGGAAACCCAGGGTCCATGCTTCACCTCAGTTGGCCTGGGGACTGCCTACCCCATGCCCCCAGAAGGGTCCCAGAGAAGGGTCCACCAGAGTCACAGGTGAAGTCCTACACTCCCTTTATTGCACTTCGAAATGAGTAAGGCAAAGCAAACTACCAGAGACCCGAGGACAAACGACCTCCTCCCCGCCAGGAACCTCGCCTCTCTCTTGGGCAGTGCGAGCACGGGACAGCAAGGGCTTAGAACACTGATGATCTGAGCAGCTCTGGAGAAATGTTGACACCCCAGCTGCTTCAGGTACATGCCCTTGGCTTGGATAAGAGTCCTCTCAGGTTCTGCTGAGGAGGAGGAGGAGGGGCCTTCAGCAGCTGGCTAATTTGAGAGTCAGGGCTCTGCCTGCAAGGCCAGGTTGGCTAGAAGCTACAGCTCCTCCCCAGGCCCACCCCAGTGGAGTATTGGATGGAAGCATCCCTCTGACCCTCTGGGATTGTCTAGAGCAGAGCTTAGCACGGCAAATGAAAGACCGGGCCTTGCAGACTGGGCCTTTTCCTAATCCCTCTCCAGCAACACTGAAGGATGAGAGGACTTCACCTTTGAGTAAAGGGGTCTTCTTGCATGCAGCATGAAAAGACTGGGACCTTCCATCCTAGCCAGTCTCAAAGCCAGGGAAGAGGGCTCCAAGAGAACATGGGATTATTGCTCAACAGAAGCACCGGCCTGACTGAGAGGCAGGGCACAGGCATAGATAGCACCCCAAGGGGTCACTTATCACAGGTGATGTTACAAGGGCCAAATAGGACAGAGCCCCTCTAGCTATAGAGACTTGATAGTGACATCACGGGCTCTGCAAACGGATGCAGACAAAGTGAGTTACAGCATGGTTTAAGAAGCTATCAGGTGTCTCCAAAGATAGGGATTCCAAGTGCTGGTGCCGAGGGCTGGGCTTGTTTTGGTTCCTAAACTCTGGTTGGCTAAGCCTTGGCTACCCTTGGTATGAAGCACCAGGATATTGAGATGCCAGAAGCAAATGTTAAGAGTCTTGAAGCTTCACTGCCATTCCAGGGATCAGGGTTGGGGTGGGGGATAGGGGGAGGGGGAGGAGAAGAAAAATCGATCAATCCACCCAATAGCTTCTTTCTCCCCAGGTTAGCACTCAAAATCATGAGGGTCTGGCCAAGACACGAGGCCTCAGTTTATCCCAGGTTTAAAACAGACAAACTTAAATCACTGAAATCACATCACAAAAGACAGCTATTTCAGCTAAAAATGTCACTTGGAAATAGGGGCCACATGGAAATGGGTCAGAACACAATGGAAAGAGGAGGGAGGAGCTGTCAATCCAGAGACCTATACGCCACACGTCTCAGAGGTGCCAGCTCCCGCACACATGTGCTTAATAATACCAAATGGTCTATTTGTTCACAATATTAAAGGGCATCTAGAGTTAGCTACGAGGGATTGGAAATCGCCTGTCGAATGGGCACAGAAAGGCTGGGTCCGAAGATGGCCTGTCACTCAGGAGGGTGGAGCTGCTGGGCCTTCCTGCTGACCACTGTCTTGCAAAACTAGGGGAAAAAAAATACAATGATTACGGGAACAGCAAGGGAAAATACAAGTACACCATAAAGCATCTTCAGTGGATGCTCCAGCTTATGGAGGAAGGGCTACCAGACTAACTTGCAGCCTTGGCCCGTGCAGGGGCCATAACTGCTACCCTACGCCATACACTTAAGATCCCAGTCTTTATACCCTGAGAAAAGCCACTTCTATGACAGCGAGGCCCAGAGAGGAAGGGGAAAGGTTTGTAGCCCCCTCTTTTAGGACCCTAGCTTTCCTAGGAGAGAAGATGGCATCTCTTGTTGATCATTTTCTAGCAGCACTGAACTGGATCATGGAACAAAGTAAGATTTTCAACAGAGAAACTTCGACTCTGAGAAAGGGGGTCTCTACCAGGGTCAGAGCCACTGCCATGGGGGAAAGCCAGAAGGCGCTTCAGGAAGAGCCACAGAACAGAACAAGGGCAGAAACTACCAAGAAATCTTTTCATAGCTCTATGGAGTCAAGTCAGATTTTTCTCATTTTATTTTTTACGAGACCTCTAATTTTATCAGTGGAGGGGGTTACTTCTTTAATGCACACTGGTACCTTCCCTTGAACTTGCAGTCTTAGGAAGTTGCCTGGGTCACTGAGAGCTTAAGTGATGTGCCCAGCCAGGATGCACCCCTCAGGCCAGTTCTCTATCCATTATTTCAGGTTCCCAACTCTAATGACAGATTACTTCCAAATGGCTAAAAGGCCTGCACTGATGGAGGGAACTACTTAGGCTGAATCCAAGGTTCGGAAACAGGAGTGAAATGACAGGCGTCAGGGCCATCACCAGAAAATGTCACCAAATGCTCCTCAAGATAATTTCCCAAGACAAAGGGTGGGAGTGGCACTGTTTGGATGCTGGAAATGGTCCAGACACCTGACACCCTTTGCTGACAGAACATCAGGGCTTTTACCTTGCTCAGGGGTAAGGGGCAATAATGACAACAGCCTAAGAATAGGCTGATGACCCCAAAGGGGTTGGGGGGATCTAGGAAAGGAGGGATGGAAGTGGTAATGGCTTCTCCACACAGAGGCAGGCTGCAATTAATGTTTCTTTTTGGTCCATCCTCTATCATGCACCGGTTACCCAGTATTTGACTATTCCTGTGTGATTCTCAGAGAAAAAAAAAGTTCCCAAATTCACAAACATTTTCAATGAAATCTAAGGCTCGGACCACCAGTTTGGCAACCATGTCACTGCTGTTTTAGGAGGGAAGTTTATCTGATTCCCCAAAGAGTTGGTAGGCCTTTGAACCTTAGCTTCCAT